GTGCCGAGGTACCCAGAGGGTCCCAGTACCCAAATAGTAGGGTTTTAGATCCCAAAATCCATACCCTGAATGGTTTTGGGACCTTGAAACCCTACTATTTGGGTACTTGGACCCTTAGGGTTAGGGTTAAGGAGTTAGGGTTCGGAATACTGGTAGTTAGTGTTTAGGGTTTCTGGTTTGGAGTTTAGGGTTTAAAGATGGTGTTGTATAGCGGATTGTACTTGGTCCGTTATGAGGGCCTCAAAAGGGGTTTATAAGGCTTTCGCATGGGTTTTGGGGGGTTTAGGGGACTTCCTGCCGCGGCCCTGGCTAAAGATTCATCAGCTGAGAGATTGGGAGTTTAAGTTTAGACCCTAAACCCTAAACTTGATCTGAAGGGTTGGGGTTGACGATCACGGCTTAACCCTGAGGCTCAAAATGGCCCAAAAGCCTTATATAGTATAGTCTTTGGGCCCAAAAGCCTTAAAGTATGAGTCCTTAGAGCCTAAGGGTAAGGGTTTATAAGGATTTGGGGCACAGGGTTCGTATTCTGGGAAGCAATCTGCCGAGGTCTGTGGTGGCTGAAGTTAAAGTTACTCGAAGTCCCATGAACCTCTCAGAAGACCCTAAACCCTAAGCCCAAACCCCTTCCCCCTGAACCCAAACCCCAAAGCACACACTAGGGCCCCCAGAGACTCCAATATTCCTGAATAAAGGAATATACCTCAAGTCAAAATAAGGACCACTCCATGAGTTAAGGTATGTTCCCTAAACCCTAATCCCTAAACCGTTTTGGAGTCTCTAGGAGCCCTTTGAAGAAACAAACCCCTAAACCCCTAAACCCCAAACTTACCGGTGAGTGGAGGAGGGAAAAGAAGGATTACCATAATCCCAGTGACTCCAATACACCTTATAATTGAGGAATATGCCCTATATTGTAGTAGCATCCCTGACCTGATTTAAGGTATATTCCGTAATTAAGGGATATTGGAGTCTCTTGGATTAGAGGGATCAGCTCTCCCCCTAAACCCCAAACCCTAAACCCACTCTCCTTTAGGCACGTGTAAGTAAACCCTACCTAGTATGGTCCCTCAACCCTCTTCCATATGGGAGTTTCCGCAAAATCGGGTGTCTTTTTCATAAGGATCCTACTGTTTAGGGTGCTATATCAGGGTCCCCTATGTTCGGAAACTCCCATAGTATATCTTACATGTACCATTTTCAGAACCTCGAAGCCCCTCCATACTTTAAGACCTTCGCCCTACCCATAGGCCCCATAGTAGCTCCTTTCTGGGGTTCATATTTAGAATTCCATAATCATAAGGTATTTAGTCCCAAAAAGGATCTACTATGGAGCCTATGGGTAAACCCGTATACCCCTAAAAACCCTAAACTTCTGGTTATGCTTATAATCCTAAACCCGAAGACCTTCAAAAGAAGCCCTTTGAAGGAATCCACCCCCCTGAACCCTGGCAGGGAAATCCTCGGCAGTCTACACCCCAGGTTCCAAGGGTGGGCTTAGGGCTCCTTTAGGGGATCTATAGGGTTTCTGAGTTCCTTTAAGGGCTCCTTTTAAGGGGGTTAGGGTTTTAGCGTGTGGGTTTGGGTTTAGGGTTTTCTTTTCAAAGGTCCGATTGGGTTGGAGAACACGGTTAATTCCCTTTCAGGGATCTGCAGGGGGCTATGAGAGGTTGAGGTTAACGGCTAAACCCTAAACCGGTCAACGGCTGTAGAAGCCCAGAGGGTTCCTCGTAGGCTACTAGTATGGAATTAGGACACCCCCAAACCATGATCAGGATGGTTCCTTGGCGCCTAGTTTCATAATGGTGGTATATAAGGAATAAGGACACTCTGAGAAATTCAGGGAGTTTAAGACATTTGAGCAGGATGAAGGTGCTTCAATGTTTGGGCGCTTCGCGTGTTTGAGTCTCGGCTCAGGCTTGGGTGTACTATCCCTAAGGCTCCATGTGCCCATATATATATATATATATATATATATATTTTTGTGATACGTAGGCCTTAAAGGGTCCCTATATAGGTACTTTAAGGCCTAAGTATCTACTATATGGGTACATGGAGCCTTAGGGTATAGGGGTTCAAGTGTATGAGGTCGTAGGGCTCTCAGTGATCGGGATCCTTTCTACACGTTCTGTAAGGTTTAGGGTTAACGGTTTAGGGATAGGGTTTAGGGTTGAGGGTCTAGGGTTTAGGGTTCGCGGTAAGGGGTGTCAGGGCTGAGAAGATGAGTAGAGAGACCAGATGCCGCGCAAAAGCTGTTACGGCATCCCGAGAAACCTTTCAGCGCCTCTCAGCGTTCGTGATCCCTGTAATTCTGCCGAAGCACTCCAAATCATTAGAATCCTCAACCCAAACCCGCTGAGACCCAAACCCTAAGGCCCTAAACACATCTCCTAGAAAACAAAACCGCTCAATTCAGGAATATACCTTAAACACTTGTTAGATCGCTCAGGTATACCTGGAAATCCAAAAACCCTACCGTTTTAAGAGTTCTGGCCTCCGATTAAGGAGTCATAACTTCACATATTCCTGGATAGACATCGCCTAAAACCTAAACCCGAAGCCCTGAACCCTATACCCAGTAAGCAAAACTGTCTGAATATCGGCAACGGGAGATTCCTACAAATGTTGCTTTCAAGAGCAACTGGAAACTGGCTTCGCGACTGTTCATGTGGTCAGCTTTACTGGCTCGACAACTTACAAGTTGTACCAGCTTCTCAAGGATGGCCACCAGATTCCTGAAGCTCCTTGGCGCGACTTGGCGAAGGAACAAGCAGACTCCGTGCCTGTGACAACCAAAGGAAAAGACCAAGACGGCTAAACAAAGAATGCGTTCTCGCAATTTGCCACTCTTTGCTAGGGCCCCTCTACCCACAATACCGAAGTTTTGCGCACTTGGAATTGCCACCTTAGCTGAGAATGCTCTGACCTGCAATTTGCTGTGTATCAGCGCCTAAACCCTGACAGTTTAACTCCCTGTAGCCCCAAACCCTACAAAATAGTAGGTTATGACCCCTTAATTGGAGGGTCTGACCCGTAAAACGGTAGGTTTTTGGATCCACAGGTCGTTTCTTGATTTCTTGATTGGGTGGATCCTTCATCTCCTGATGGGTGGTCAGCCTGCCCTAAACCCTAAACCGTAGAGGAACGGCACTAAACCCTATTATCCCTAAACCCCATTAGGCTTACTATTATCAAATATCCACACTGAAGGGCCATAAGGACTCTATTAAAGGGTACTTTAGGGGGGGTGCTGGTATCTAAGGTTAGGAGTATGAGCCCCTGATATGAACCCTAATTAGACTGTTTTTAGGGAGTTCTAGGGACCGTGAGACTCTTCCTAGGGTTTTTAGTAAGTATGTAAGCATCCCAGGGTTAAGGGCCCGTGGTTTCAACCGTTGATGGTAAACCCTGAACCCCAACCTAAACCCACCCTAAACCCTGAAACCAAAACCCGAAGCCCTATACCCTAAGCCCTAGTAAACCTTACTGAACCCTACTACACCTTAATTCCTTAACCCTTAAACCCTTAAACCCTAAAAACCCTAACCTACTTGGAGGTTCATGGGACTTCGTAGGTGCAGGTACAAAGGCCCTAACTGGGGTTATAAATGATTTATAAGTATAGTTACCTTGTTTATATCCCTAGGTACTAGGCCCCATGAACCTCTAAGTAGACCCTGAACCCTAAATCCTTAAAGGGAACCCCATTATAGAACCCTATAGTACCCTTAAAAGGAGCCCCTTATAACTCTAGTTACTAAGTCCCATGAACCTCACAGTTTACCCTAAACCCTAAACCACCCTAGACCCCTTATAGAACCCTTTAAGGAACTCCTTGAGGAACCCTCTAAGTTACTAAGTCCCATGAACCTTTAAAGTAAGCCTTGTTTTGCAGGCCTTGAGGCGCTCAGAAGAGGCCTTGCGATGCCTGCGCACCGCCTTGGAACCGTTTGTGCTGAGGCTTGGGATTGGATTTAGGATTTAGGGTTTAGAGTTCAGGGTTCGGGGTTCAGGGTTTATGGCTTACGGTTTAGGGTTTAGGGTTTGGGTTTAGGGTTGGGGGTTTAGGGTTTACAGTTCGGGGTTTCGGTGTTCAGGGTTCAGGGCGTAGGGTACAGGGTTTAGGGCTTAGAGTTTGGGGTGCAGGGTTTAGGGTTTAGGGAGAAGGGGTTTACGGGTGCAGGGTTTTAGCGGCTGTAAGCGATTAATCGGTTTTCATAACGGTACCAGAACCCTCAACCCTACACCCTAAACCCCAACACCACCCCTAACCCCCAAACATCACGGAATTTGGCTCTGCTGATTTGTTTATGTTGCGTGGTAGGGTTTCGGGCATCGGGGATTCGACTTTAGGTGTTCAGAGTCTGGGGTTGTAGGTGCGCCGGATTTTTTCGGATGGTCCAGAATTAGAGATTGAAAGGATTTTGCAGGGACCCTACAGTACAACCCTAAAACGTTTATAATCTCCTACTACAACCAGCATACTATATGATGAGAAGGGAAAGCTATTGCTGAAGAGGGTCAAACCCTACCACAACCCCAAAGACCCTACCCTTTTTAAGGGTTTCCAGAATCATAAGCTGAACCCTAAACTAAATCGGTAGGCTTCTCAGGCTCTTGAGCTCCTATGGCTTCGGAATTGGTGCTTAGGGTTCATGGATCAGGCTTTAGGGTTTAGAGTTCAGGATTCAGGGTTTAGAGTTTTGAAGAAACCCTCTTGCAGGTGCTTGTCATCATGAGCTGCGCATGTGTGTGCTCCAATCAAGGGAGAAGGCTACGAAGTATGTACTCCCTGGGCCATGCATGTGAATAGTCATGCGGAAGGGAAACAGCATTTATATTGTACATCTTAAGATGCAGACCTTCCAAGGCATTTTTGACTCCAGCACAGCAAAGCTTTTCGACTTGTTTGTTTGCGGAAAAGGAGAGATCGCATGCATTTGAAGCCATGGACTCCTTAAACCTTAAATTCGGATGAAGCCCTCAGGCTTCAGCAGGTTATGAGCGCCCAAGATGCTCGAACCGTGGCTCCGCAGGTCAATGGTGTTGACCGAGCTGAACGAGAAGGCCCGCGTGATGAAGGGGCCAACGGCACTGAGGCTGCCGTGAATGAGGAACCAGAAGGACAGCTGGCGGGCGTGAGTGAAGTGTTGACGGCCCCAAGGTATGGTGCCGTTGACCGCGATCGACGCGATGTGCCTACTACCTCCGCGTCACCACCTCTGAGGGAAGATACTGAATCGCGGATGCGGCAGGGGGCAACCAATGGTTTGCCTACGACTGTAGAAGCGGACAGGGCTCTTCGAGGAGGTAATGTGGGCTTGGGAGGTGATGCCTCAACTAGTCAGGCTGGTTTCGTTACACCGAGATCGACTTCTCCAGGGCTGGCGGCGCAGAATAACTGGTTGGGCAGCCTGGAGGTTCCTAGATGGATGAGCCGTCTGGGGAACTACTTGAGTATTGCGCATGAGCAGCTGGCCCCAAGCCCATTGGCCGGGCTGAGCAGTACTCCGTTGCCTACCCCTCCTGGCGGAGTGCCTTTCTCACTGAGGTCGCCACCGAGGCAGCAAAGACCAGTGCGGGCTTCGACTCCACCGAGCTCTGAGCTGTCTGCTGGGGCTATCCAAGCTGAGGTACAACGCCAGTTGGGTGGGTTGCTTACGAGGTTGAGGGTAGCAGAAGATCACAACACATACCTTCGACATGAGCTTGATGCAGAGCGTGAGAGACTAAGAGTCTTGCAGCAAGCTGAACCAGAGCGGAGTGTACCCGCTACAATGATGATGCCTCTGCCTATGTCGACGGAGAGATCGCAGGGTTTGGGAGGAAGGGCACAAGGGGTACTAGATCCAGATCTACCTGTAGAAGACGCTTCGGGACTACCTCTACCTTCACGGTTACCAGCACCCTCCCCTGAACTTTCATGGCATCCTGATCGACTATCGGCGCTTTACACAGAACCCCGAGGCCTTCGAGAACCCGGCCGGGAAGACGACACGGGAGCAAGAGACCCTGTACAAAGAGAACCTTCTATAGAACCTCCAAGGGCTCCTCCTAGTGTACCAGGACCACCTCCCTTACCTGAACAAAGAGGTTTCTTTCGATCCCTACTACAACGACCAAGGAGCCAGACACCGCCACCGCCGAGGGCACCACCCTCTGCTGAGTCGCCGACTGTGGAAGCCTTGGCCAGGGGAATGCAGCAGCTCCAAGAGCTGCAACTACAAGCGTTGCAGAAGACCCAAGGTCAGGCCAGTGAAGTGATCAAGCCGGGAACTAGTACGCTTACCAGTTTGCCGCCGTTGAAGGGGGGAGCTGAATCTGCCCTCTTGTTCCAGGACTGGATCGAAGTGACTACAGCGGTGATGTATGTGACATCAGCGAGCAAAGTGGCGTGTGGTGGAATGAGGTTCAGGCGTTGGTGGATACAGCGTACCAGACATGGTTAGCGGCAACTCCGTTGGAGAGGTTGTCGATTGGACCTACAGGTGCAGAGGAGATATGTTCGCAGCGATGGACAAGGCTGAATGCGAGGGTGGCGGCAATGCTACTAGCAGCTATGGAGGAGGACCAAAGGGCGGACATGATTGCCCATCGTCTTTCTACGAACTCTGCCAGGATGCTTTTCCGACTCTACGTCCTCTACCAACCTGGAGGAAGTCTGGAGCGCCAGGATGTTCTGAAGAGGCTACAGTCACCAACGGACTATGTGGAGAAGGAAGGACTGGAGAGCACTTTGAAGATGTTGAGGTCGTGGCCGCGGTGGATGGCAAGATGCCAGACAGTCAGGATGGCGTTTCCGGATGCATCTGTGTTGGCGAGAGGACTTCGCCTTCTGACCCAGAAATGGATAGAGACGTCGCCGGATGCGGCGTTTCGCACGGCCATGCTACGGACTACGTTGCGACTGGACGGCCAGCCGGATTTGGAAGCAGTCAGGGCCTATCAACGCCACCTACAAGCGGAGTTGGAAAGTATGATGACCAGTCAGCAAACGACTTCTACGACATCGCCTACGAATCCCCCGAGGGTGAGAGCTTTGGACAAAACCAATGCGGCGGCAAAGGAGTCCGAGGTTACCAAGGCGAGGGACAAAGAGAAGCCTGGGGCGACCGACTTGTGTCGCTACTTCATGCGGCCAGGAGGCTGCAAAAGAGGAGGCCGTTGCACCTTCAGTCATACGATGTCCCACCTTGACAAGGAGGTCAGGAACCGCAAGTGCCTGGCGTGTGGCTCGGAGGCACATCGAGCCAAAGACTGCCCAGTCAACCGCTCCCCGAACAGGCCCTCTTCATCTACTACAAGCTCACCAACAAAGGACCAGAGGTCGAATCGGACGCAGGAGCCTGTAGCAGGGGTATCTTCTATGTCAACAACGGCAACGAGTGGCTCCACCAGCGATGGCTCCGCTACCATGGGATCAACGATCCAAGGGGTACCGTGGACGATAGAGTCGCTGATGCTTGCAGCCCAACAGGTTGTCCAGAACCAAGGTACCACCTCGCGGGAAGATACGTCGCCAGAAAAGACCCAGCCTACCATGAAGATGATCAAGATCAAGGACATCCGAATATGCACGGCGAACGCTACCTCCTCGGCACTTTTGGACTCAGGGGCCACGCATTGCCTAAGGAACGCCTACACTACAGAAGAGTGGGAGGACTCTGAGGCAGTGACGGTTCAGTTGGCTGGGGACAATCGACTTACCATGCGGATGAGCGCTACGGGATCACTTTTGATGCCGCCGAGGCCTAAGTCCCCAGATGCTGGAGGTGATGGTGCAGCGGGTCAAACGATAGTTCCGTTGGGAGAGCTAATCCGAACGCTTGGCTACACACTCGTGTGGACTCCTTTGCGATGCTACATCGAGGACGCTGGGGGTGAAAGGACCCCTTTGGAGACATCGGGTGGGTGTCCTCAATTGAGCGAATTGGCGGCGCTGTCGTTAATATCCAGGCTCGAGGAGCGGAAGCGTGAGCGGTTGCTGAATGAGGCAGACGCAACGATGGACCGGGTTTCGATGGCTGCCCTAGCTATGGATCGCTCCTGGACGGACCACCTTCGGGAGTATACCGGCGAGGCCAACCTAGAAGCTGGACTTCGAGCAGTGCGAGATGCAGGGTTTCTTGGGGAAGTTCCGGGAGAGTCCCTACATGGCTTGGTTCAACAGGGAGTGCACGATGATGGATGGAAGTTGTTGAAAAAGATCGACTACTTGACCAGGCCTCAGAAGCGCTATTTGTACCAAGCGAAAAAGTGGGTGATACACCTTTTCGCGGGCGACCCAGGCAACTACAAAATGTTCCAACTCGACCGCTCTAATACCGTTGTCTTTGAGCTCGACGCCAATCGTTGCAGTGCCCACAACGTGATGAATGACGATACATGGAGATTGCTCCTATGGGGTGCCATCAATGGGAAGGTGGACGCGGTGATTGGCGGAGCTCCTGGACGGGATGGTTTGAGGAGTTTGAGCGGCTCGACCAAGGACAAGGACTTGAAGCCCTTGAAGGCGATCGTCCGGATGATGTGGTTGTACGCGGTCGCAGAAGCTGGACGGGCGACAAAAAGGGCTGGACCTCTGCGCGACAGACCGGTGGCGTTTGTGATGGAGCATCCTACGGAAGCAAAGGGCGATGATGTGAGCCTATGGCAGTCTGGACTGTGGAAGGACTTCCAGGAGCAGATGGAGATGGCCAAGGTTTCGTTTGACCAGAGGGTTATGGGCAGCGCAAGAACCACATGTACTACTTTGGGAACCAACGTCTACTATCTGCAAGGGCTGGACGGTTTAACTCCCGAAGAACCCGGAGCGGAGCTTCCTCAAGGCCATCGTGACGATCCGGTGTGGTCTCCAGGCCTGGTGGATGCTATTGTGGCTGCTATGATGTTTTGGGAACGAAGGCCAAGGTGTATACCAACAATCGCGGCTCTTTCCCCAGCCCAATGGCAGCAGCATGTGAGTTCGGGACACGCCAATTACCAGCGCGACTGCTTGACATGCGTTATGGCCAGAGGCACAGGGAAACGACATGCGCGAGTACGGCATCCAGATATGTTCACACTGACAGTGGACCTGGCAGGTCCAGTGAAGCCAGGCCTTGATGTTACGTCAAAGGGAACGATGGGCAAAGGCCTCAAGTATATGATGGTGGCGAGGTATGTGTTGCCGACTGAGTTTGTGAAGGCCTACTCCGGGCGTTCCCCTCCAGCTGATCACGGCATGGAAGCTCCACAACCAAATGGTCAAAGAGGAGAAGAGTCAAGCGGCAAGGAACTCGAAGAACCTTCTCTACTACCACCATGTGAAGAATGGGAGCATGAGGCTGGAGCGGCCTTAGACCAAAAAGAGCAATGCGGCGAGGAACTCGAAGAACCTTCTCGACTACCACCACGTGAAGAATGGGATCCGTTTTTATTTGATGAAGATGAGCCGGGTGAGCAGGGTCCACTTATCGTTGAAGATGAGCCGGGTGAGCAGGGATGGTCGCCAGTGGGCGCAGAGCAACATGGCGGTCCACCACAAGGGTTTGTGGGAAGTACAGAAGAACAGAGGCAAGTATACAAGGACTACGAGGACTCACTGTACTCCATGTCGGACCAAGAGGACAAGAACGCAGAAGAGGAGGAAAAGGGAACTCAGCGAGATCAAGTACCCTTTCCTGACTGCGAAGCGCCAAGGGGAACTCACTTACTGTTTGCGCGGGCCCTACCGAACAACGGAACTACGGCTGTGAAGAATGCGCTACAGGACGTGGTCCTATATTTGGAGGCACATGGACTACCAGTACATCGCCTTCATTCCGACAAGGGTGAGACCTTCAACCACAATATCAGATCCTGGATGAGAGATCAGGGCATTCGGGCTACGTGGTCCGAACCTGGTATCCCTCAGGGGAATGGCCAGGCTGAAAACACAGTGAGATGGATAAAGGACCAGGCGAGGACTTTGCTCCTCTCCTCGAGACTTCCTACCAGGCTGTGGCCTACGGCGGTTGAGGCGGCTACGGCATCTCAGAGGGCAAAAGTGCTGGGATGGAAGTCGAGATTGCTGGCACCGTTTGGAGCAAAGGTACACATGAAGCAGAAGGCCTTTGATTCGTCAGGACCCCGGAGGAGGGAAAGAGCCTTCGAGTCGAGGTGGGCATCTGGCTACTATGTGGGACTTAGCAACATTCTGGACGGCGGTCATGTTATTTTCGTTCCGGGAAAGGATGGGGAGAGAGAGCGGTTTGTGCACACGTTTCATGTACGTGCTCGCCTACAGGATCCTGGACCACCTCTTGAAGAACTAGAACAACAGGAGCCCCCAAAACCACGACGGCGTCTTACAGATAAAACTCCATTGGAACTGGTGGAGATGAAGTCGTTTACGCCAGCCCCGAAGGATGTGGAAGACTATGCGGCCCGACGTTCAGCTTTACTTCTAGAGTCATGGGACCAGGAGGAGGCGGAAAAGCTGATCGATGAGTTGGCCGAACATGGCTTCTTTGATGAGGTGAAGTTCGGTATGTATAGACATGGTGGAAATGTGGGGACAATGAGAGGGATCACTGCGTACCCCGAAGTAGCTAAGCTGCTATCACGGATCGTTCACAACTACAA